AAAGTCTTTTCCAAAAACGTCTCTAAATGCGTCACACCAGATGGCAGGACCATATGTGCAGGGGACATTGTTTGGGCCAAGATATATGGCTTCCCTTGGTGACCAGCCCGTATTCTTACTATAACTGTGAGTCGGAAAGATAACAGCCTCTTAGTTCGACAGGAGGCCCATATTTCATGGTTCGGGTCTTCAACAACATCTTTCCTTGCTCTATCGCAACTGTCCCCCTTTTTAGAAAACTTCCAGTCACGCTTTAATAAGAAGAGAAAGGGCCTGTATCGCAAGGCTATCACAGAGGCAGCTAAGGCTGCCAAGCAGCTGACCCCGGAAGTACGGGCTCTGTTGACACAATTTGAAACGTGAACACGGACAGTAAGGTAGGCAAGAACCATTGAAAGGTACCACAGATTTTTCTAGTCTAGTTAGGAGGAACTTCTGCAAAATAGCCTGGCCAAATTGGAGAGAGAAATTGAACTCAATTGGCTGCTTTTTTTAAAATAAAACTTACCTTATAGCCATTTTTAGACTGAGAAGCTAAACTGAACAAGCAATCAAATTTTGTCGTAAGGTTGTGAGATTTTAGTAGTATTTTTCAGTTTTAAAGTCTAAAACCACCCAAAGGCACAGGAGCCATAGCCTCAACTGAAAATGAATTTTTGCAGGGACTATTGCCATTTGTACCTAGTACTGTGTGTATGTGTACATATATACACAGAAATATGTGTGTGTATATACATATATACTATATATAAATAGAATCTAGCCTGTCACTATGTGACACAGGTTGCATATTTGGGATTGTAGTAAGGGCTGCTGAGCTGGGGGAAATAGTGTGGATATTTAATGACTACTTGTTTTTAAATTAATGAACACGTAACCTTTCTATGTGCATAATGATGCAAGAGCTTGATATTTAGGTGTTTGACAAACAGATGCTTGCTATTCAGTTTCAGACTGGGGAAATAGCTCAAGTGTTTGGGATTAAGATTGTCAAGGCTGGCTAGGTTTGAATCATCTCTCTCCTTTGTTCAATGAGGATTTAACAAAAACTTTCAAACTTCTGGTTTGGGAGTTCAGATAGGTTTGTTTATCTTTGGATATGTAAATAGTTGGTTGCTAAATTTGGTCAGATTACTCCTGACTGGCTGTTCCTAAATTCTTAGGATACGTCCTGATGAATTACACTTTGTGAATTGTCATATGTGTAATTATTGCCTTTTGGATGTACCTAATTTGATAACTTAAAAAAATATTTCCGTTTAAGGTATCTGTTTGCAGGTCAGAAAATGAGAAAATGTAATTGTGTAATGCTCTGAAATGTAAAAAAACAAGCTGTAAATAAAATCGACTAAATCCAAATTATTTGTGTGTGTTTCTCAAAAAGCTTTGAAAATTTTCAAGATGGTAGAAAATTAATCTTTGTAACTGTGTAGAGGAGGTGAAAAATCAAACTTACTCCTTATTTGCCCTATCAGAGAATATAATATCTGAGCATAGATGACAATCTTAAAATGAAATATTGTAGTATAGAGGTCTAATATGCTTCTAGATTTGAGACCCTTCTGCTAGTTTCTCCTAAATGTATGGGTTTTATTTTTTTCATTTCTAGCCTTAATATTTCATCATGTGCTTGATTTTTTAAAAAAATATTTGAGTAATTACAACCAGTCTCTTCTGGCTCCAGTGCCTCAGGTATCATTGCTTTTGGGCCGGTAGCTTAGTTCATCGTTTTTCTACATGGTCCATATGTCCCTAAGATTCGATTTTTTTATTTTCCATTTTTAGCTTTGTATTGTTAGTGAAAAATATATCAGATTGCCTATGAAGGCAAGTTTATCCCAAGGTAATGTTGCTTTCATACTTTGTGTCTAACTTTTAAATTTGATATGTCAATTTGACACTTTGGGAAACTTGAAGTATTTAAAGAGCAACTTTTCATGGATTTCTATGTAATCCAATTTGAAATACCTTAGTTACTATGGAATTAATAATGAAAAGATTAATGGAGATTTAAAATCAATAGTTTTCATGTTAGCTTCCTTAAGGTTATGGACTTCTATGATTTATATACTGATTTCTGCAAAAGAAAGTAGAATTTCTTCTGGGGAACCCAGTCAATGCTTTTTGATTATAATAAACACACAATTGAAAAAACAAGGTGTTTCACTTGAATAGAACATATTCTTTCCTGCAAACAGAAACAACTATTTACAATTTATTTTTGATAACAGGTTGAAAGAAGTTCACATCATGATTGAAGGGTTTTCAGGAAGTATCTCAAGATTTTCTGAGTATTTGTTTCAGATTAACGAACTGTTCAGATATTTTTGAAAGTTTGAGTATCCAAGGTTCAGATTTAAACAAGGGAGCATAAAGTCACCTGAAATATGTAATTCCAAGGCTTCATATAATGATCCCAGGTGAGTTTCATCCAAACATGGTGGTTTTGACAGTGATATTGCTAATATAGTCAAGTGCTTTGGCAAATGTGCTTTTGTGGCATAAACCAAATTTGGTTTCAGAAGCCATAGGCAAAAGAAAGAAAATAGTCATATTTGTTGAGTACAAAAAGAATTTTATGTAGTCCATACCTTTGAGGAAAGGCTTGAAGCACAATCACAAATGTGCATGATCTCCAGTCATGCCATTATGAACTGGCAGTCTGGTATTTCATCTGAAGTTTCAATAGGGAAACAAGTTTTAAAGATTTTCTGAATACTAATTCAGTAGTTGCATAGTAATGTTCTGTTCAAATAGAAATTTCTTAAGCAGTTAAATTTGCAGATGGAGATAGAGTAGAATTGAGTGATTGCAACCCCTTTTTTCTTTCACTTGTTAAAATGAGCATTTACTTGTATGGAGATAACAAAATGGGTAATTTTTACCCTTGCAGAGAGAAAACGAGGTGCGGGCCAGGTCTGCAGTGGTCTGAGTAAAATGGCTAAAACAGGACTAGCAAGGGGAGAAACCAAGTGAAGTAAGAGCTGTAAAAGCCAAAGATGAAATTATTTCTAGAAATTCTCCGAAATTTAGTGTCAGAGTTTTTTCCCCCCTTTTAGTTTTCTAGGATTTATAGGCCAGAAAGCTGACTTCATTTGGAAAGAATATCTGTTCAACCCATTTATAGAATTAGAACCAGATACCTAAATGATGAAGTAAAGTAGAATTCACTAGTCTGAAGTCCATTTTCATGGTTTGATAGTATGTCCTGATGTGGTTTTGATGGGAAAATTTATAAATAGTAATTTTAGATTAGTACTAAGTAGAATAGACAGGATTATAGCTATAAAGAACTGCAGGCAAAGAATATGGAACTGTTACTAAAATCAACTAGACTTTAATGGGTGAGTTTCTAATTTATAAAATACTGAGTTGCCACCTCTCTGAGGTTGTACTTCATATTGGTTCTGTGGAAGGAAAGATACACATTTACATTCTTTGATAGATATACATCCTTTATATAGAATAACAGAATTGGAATTTGGAAATACTTTAAAAAACCTTTAATTTGGATTTAAAATTAGCTTTCTTTTAAATTTTGAATTTCTCTATCGTTCTGCATTAGTTCACTTTTGTTAAGGACTCATAGCAGAGACTGGCAAATGTCTAGAAAAGTTGTTAATATTTTGATTCAGGATGTTTTGATTTGGGCCAGGTGATGGCCTCCAATAGGGAATTTGCAGGGACAATGAAGACCCCTTTTTTTTAAGTGTGGGAAATTTAGGGTTTGCTTTGGGATTATTGCTATTGAAATGCCTCATAGGGAATTCAGAAATAGAACATTAGGCTGGTGTCATCCATTCATTGTTAGGAGAAAATAAAACAGCTAAGCTGTCCTGGCCGCTTTGGCTCAGTGGTTAAAGCATTGGCCTGCGGTCTGAAGGGTTGTGGGTTCCATTTTGGTTAAGGGCATGTACCTTGGTTGCAGGCTTGATCTCTGGCCCCGTCGGGACAGGTGCAGGAAGCAACCAGTCAATTTGAGAGACACACATAGATGTTTCTCTGCCTCTTCCCTTCCCCTCCATTCTGAAAAAAATCAATAGAAAAACAACAAAATCAGCTAAGCTGCATTAATTTTGCCTAGTTCTGACGTAGTTAATAGGCTCTTCATATTCTGTATATATAGTTTGTGTGAATTACTGTATTTCTTCAAAGTGAGTAGAATTAAAAAATGAAAGCTTTAGCAATTAATGTTATGCCATTTTAAATGAAAGAATAGTAAGTTTAAAGTCAGAGATCATCTAGGTCAGTGGTTCTCAACCTTCCTAATGCCACGACCCTTTAATACAGTTCCTCATGTTGTGGTGACCCCCAATTTCATTGTTACAAATTGAACATAATTAAAGCATAGTGATTAATCACAAAAACAATATGTAATTATATATGTGTTTTCCGATGGTCTTAGGTGACCCCTGTGAAAGGGTCGTTCGACCCCCAGGTTGAGAGCCGCTGATCTAGGTGGTCGATATATTTTTGGTTTTCCAGGATGTCTTGGTGTCTTTATCATGGATAGTTGACACAGATCAGAAGAGAAACAGTTCAACTCTTTTTAGGTGAATTAGTGGGACTATATTTACCCATTACTCTTTTAAGAGTAGGTTTTTAGATTAAAACCATCCTCTCTCACTGACAAAAAATTGTTTTTGACACTTAAAAAAAAAGATAATTTTATTGATTTCAGAGAGGAAGGGAGAGGGAGAGAGAGAAACATCGATCAGAGAGACTCATTGATTGGCTGCCTCCTGCATGATCCACACTGGGGATTCAGCCCGCAACCCAGGCATATTCCCTGACTGGGAATAGAACCATGACCTCCTGGTTCAGAGGTTGATGCTCAACCACTGAGGCACATTGGCTGGGCTTGGACACATTTATGAATATGGAATCCATTTAAATTGTTATGAAGTTAATTACATTAGTTTCCAAAACTTAATTTACATACCATCACAATTGCCCCGTATTTTCAAATTTGTGTACTTTTCTTTTTTTTTTTTTATGTCAGTACAACTAATGGAAAACAAACGTGCCTTGACACAGGTAGAGAATTCGAATACAATTCTAAGATCTTGTGTACCACACTTTGGTAGGAAACAAGAATTTTTATATTATGTCTTTAAAGTCCATCTTGGGATGAATTGAACAAAATTTTCATGCATCTAATTAATCTCTGAAAAAACTAATGACCAAATTTGAATTTTTTTCTTATAGATTCCTATGTTCTGGTACAAATTAAAGATTGGTTGTGGGGAGGTGTAAAGTAAAAGAAGAAACTGTAGACTCAAATGGTATCAGGATTTATCAAAATACTGAATTTGTGAGTCAAAATTCTCATTTTCCAACTGAATGAGATGTTTGTAGTATATGCTGTCTAACTTACAGGCCGCCTTCTGTTGGACATTTGCTTGTAAAACATTTTTTTAAAACTGATGTTGATAACAGGCTTGTTTAAAAATGCCTGGTCTTAAAACTTGGTTTAAACATGAATTAAGTATTTTTTCAATTTTCTTTGTATCATAAGAATGAGACGGTTGACCTCCTTTTATTGCCTTAGATATCTGAGTCTTAACCGGAAATCATGATTTAAAACTTCTTAAAATTTTTTTCTATCCTGTAGTGAGTATTTAGAAGGAAAACCAGATATTCCATAGCTAAAGTGTTAGGCTGTTATCACTTTTTTTCCTTTTTACACAAACTAAAAAAGTTGTAATTATAATGTATATCAAGCTTTAGCCGGGGTTTCAAAAAAAAAATTAAGATAATTTTGTAATCCTGTGTCCCTTAGTGCCCTCCAACACAGAGATTCACCTAAAAGCTTTTGAATAAGTACAGAAGGAACAATCCCTCCCAATGCCCCTCCCGGTGAAATATAGAAGCATGGTGTTTGCTTGAGGAGAATGTGTTGTAGAAATGTGAGGGTCATCCTGTGAGTGTAAAAGATGGAAATGGATAGATAGTTATGAGCGTATGTATAACTTGACTGATGCAGGTGAGTCTGAGCGTTCATTAACATTTTGGTGCCGGTTGTGCTTGACAACATGAGGCTTTTATTGATGAAAGGCAATCTCGTCCACTTTCCAAGCACACAGTTGAAAGTACAGTCTCTTGAGCCAGATTTCCTAGATGCAAAGGCTGCCTTGGGTCTGTCACAAGCTGTGTAATCTTAGGCAGGGTACTCAATGTCATTGCCTGTGAAACGGAAAATAATAGCACTTCCTCATAATGTAATTCCTCATTAAACCAATAAAGTGCCTGGTAGAAGACCTATGTAAATACTTGCTGTCATTACCACAGCCACCACTTTCTGTGAATGGGATAGAAATTTCTTTCAGGTAGTTTGTTTTTTTGTTAATCCTCAACTGAGGATATTTTTTCTATTGATTTTTAGAGAGCAAAAGGGAAGGGGGAGAAAGAGAAAAATCACATGTCAGAGAAACGCATTGATTGTTTACCTCCTGCACGCACCCTGACTGGGGCAGGGTTCAAACCTGCAACCCAGGTAATTGCCCTTGACTGAGAATTGAACCTGAGACCCTTTGGTGCTTGTGCTGACACTCTAACCCCTGAGAAACACCAGTCAGAGCTCAGGTAACTTTTGATATCCTGCAACATACTGACTATAAATGAAAGAAATGTTATAGCAACATTATATGAAAATAACAATAATCATAGTGTAATCATCCACAGATATCTATAAGTAGGTATGAATTATTTCCAGCAGGCATGTGGAGGGCTGCTGGGTTGGAGGTCATGGGACTTATGGTGAAGGGAGAAGTGTATTAACATTTCAACACTTGCCCCATTCATTTGCGGATCACATAAATCCCAGGAGTCTATTACTTGCGGGTTTTCTCCTCTTTTATGCCAAGCACAGGGCCTGACATAGCAGAGATGATAGTCCACTTGTGAGTGAGGAAGAGGGATTCTTGTTCAGACACTGATGTGTACTAAGGACTAGTCACCATTTCAGAAGCCTGGCATTTCCCACATCCTTTCAGAGAGGCTTGAATGAGCAGGGGGGGCTCAGCAGAGTAGAGGTCCTCCTAGGAGAGTTTTCCAAAAGTATTAGAACCACAAAGCTACCCTTGTCAGCTCTGGATACTGTAAACTAGCTGATTTGCACAGATGCTGTGTTCCCCTGGGACCATGGTGTTTCATTACTTTAATATTTTGCGGAATGGTGAAAGGTGGACATGAATTTGAACGTTTCCTCTCATTTCCCCCCCCCCCCCACCTCATTTTTTATTGCTGTTGGTATGATTTAGTAAGAGCTGTTTCCCCTTTCTAGGAGGGAAATACTTCACATTCCAAGGTCTTGATCCGTGGCCACATTCTCTGGAGTGTAGTCATTTTTACTCATGGCTCATTTTTGAGATGCTGATTACAAAACTGATTTTCTTCCACAATTTAGCTTTTTGAAGGAAATCTGGCTGGGAGTAGCACATCTAGGTGTGACTCCTAATGTTCTGGTTAGAAAAATACTAAGCCTAGACGCCAGAATGTCTGTTGTGTTGATGCTTTTATCTGTTTGTTCATGTTGCAGCATGCTAAATTGTATTAACACGTTAAGTCATGTCAGTCACTGGTGACTGACACTATACTTTCCACCGGACCGGTCAGTCACTGGTGCCGCCAGCATATCGTGAAATCGGGTAACGTGGGCTAAACGGAAAGGAAGACAAAACAGGCTTGGCGCTTAAAGTGTTAAGAGAAAATTCATGTTGAGTGCTCAGCAAGATGATAGGTGCATGTACATAATCTTAATTCTTTAGTTTTTCATTCTGGGCTTTGCTCTAAGAGTGTGACCTCCTCTGCTTCCTTCTTTCATGCATCCAAAAAGGAGACCGAGTGTTTACTTACCCTGTTCTGAGTTGTCCTTTTATCTCTGCTGCCTCCCAGGAACGGTTGCCTTACATTGTTGCATATAAGCTTTGACTTAATGAACAAAATAAGTAATTCCAATGAAATGGCTTTCAGGAGGGTGTCCCTCCATTTACTGTATCACAGTCAGGGCTCCCTGGCTTGTTCTAATGGATCTTGTAGGTGTGGTCAATATCTAAAGAACCTTGAGACCCCAAAAACCTGTGTGTGTGTGTGGGGGGGGGGGGGCTGGGGAGTAGCAATGCACAGGGAAAGATGGTCATTCTTTGATGCAGATTCTTAACTTTGGCCTAGAATGGAATAGGAGGTTCTTTAGAATGATTGTTCAAACCTAAAAGCTGTTACTTATGGAGGGAGAGGTTGAAAAGAAATTCTCTTGTGCATTCAGATTCGTTTTCTTCTTGGTGTGACTGCTGTTGGGTTGTAGTAGTATATTTAAGTTTTCCTGTGAACAAAAGGGTAAAAATCTCATTGTTAAGCCTCATTTAAGGAAATAGTTCTCTGTTAAAATTCAGAATTATGTTTATAGATTAGGTGTATAAAATTTATCCTTTTCAATGTCAGAAAAGCCTTTTTAAAAGTTTTGATATGTTACTGCTTCTGGTTTAACTTAGCATTTAAAAAATATTATAAGGACCAAACATTCTCTAACTCAATGACCCCAGAGTTAACTATAGTGATTTGATAAATGATCTGTTAATACTTAAAGTAGGGAATCAAGCAGACAAGCAAATACTACTGTGTTAAAAAATAAGGCTTGAAATAGCAATCTTTCTTTTGAAGCTTTCTCACTTAGGCATTCAGAACAGAGACTTCGAATACTATCTTGTTAAACTTGTGTTAAGCAGATATTGAGTCATTGATTCAGGTCCCTGAATAGTATGCACAAGTGGTCATTGGCATTAAAGGAGAAAGGGATTTAGGTACGTTTTGGTCATTCTGCAAAACAGGGTCTCATTAATGTTGTGATGTGGTAGGGATGGAGACTTCAGCCCTTGTTGAATGCTAAGATCAGGACTATTCCAAGACTATTCCAATACTAGGCTAGTAAAATTTTTGTCAGGATCGTTAAGTGCAAGTTAGCATTGGAGGGCAGCATCTTGGTTGTGCCTGAAGGCAGTTTGCTGCTGAATTGACTTGGGCCGGAGAGTGCCCTCGCCTGGCTAAGGCTGGTGTGTATACACCTCCTCTGTTTTCCTTGGTTTACAACCAAAGCTTCATATTTTGTGAAGCCAGTAAGTTATGTAGAATAAATTCATTATGAAAATTCCACTGAATTTTGGTCATATTTAAATTTTTTTTTTTTGTAAAATGGATTAAAAAGAACTCAAATGACTTCTCTACTTTTGTTAACTTGGTTTTTTCTACCATAGGTCTCAACAAATGGCAGCTATTACATCAGACAGTGACGAATCCTGCTGCTCCCTTACAGTGTCTGACAGACCACTGTGGATTCAGACTGGGAGCATTGACGTTAACAGTGAGACGGGCAGGTCTGTCTGTGTTCAGCTCTGCCAGAGTGAAGAGGGCACCATGTCATCACTTGATCATTTCCAAAGTAGATGAGGCTAGATGTAAAAATTCATTAGTTCTTTTTCCTTAGCTTTTCATTGGTAGCTGCGTATCCCTCATGTAGGCGATCGTTTTAATGAGTCAAAGTAACTTTTCATTTCGTGTTACCTGCTGTGCTAAAAAGTAGAGCCAGCCTCCTTCGAGCTTCCATGAATTGAGAGGAATTTTTCCTATGGTGGTAGAAGTTGGGTGTCAGATTGTAGAATTATGCCAGATAGCAACTGAGCCTCCGTGGATGGTCAAATAGTGGATTCCTTTATCTTTTCACTATCTCAACCTTTCGTTCTCACTTTTATATTCATTACTTTAATTTTGTAGTCATTTCTTCTTACTGTATATATAAGAATATATATATGTTCATATATATTCTTAGTGAGTTAACCTCAAAACTGTCATTTACAACTCAGTGGGTGGAAAGAGTGTGGCAGTGTAGTTGTAATCTATTTAAGCACATTTATGAAAACTTTGGATAATGCCTGAAAGGCTTATTTTGGTCTCTTAAACAGGAGGAAAGGTTTCGGGATTCCGTTGTGCTGCTTTTGAATTTGTGATCTTTTTTTTGTTTTCCTGAATTAAGGCTATTTGTTGGGCTGTATTGCTGCATGAGCTGTAATGTGCAAGCTGGGTCAGAATGGCCCATTTTGGATGAGAGGTTGAGGCTGGGAAATTATGGACTCTTACCTGTATAGGGGTGGCAGCTACCCTTAAAATGATCTCTTGAGGGAATAGCGTCTTTGTTTTTATTCTGCACCTGTCATATGAATAGTAAGATCTGCTACAATCCTTGACTTTCCTGCCGACTTGAATAGGCCTCACTCAGATTGAAGCCAAATATTGACAGTTATAAATAGGAAATGGAAATGTACATGGGATTCGCTAGTTACTATTTTTCTCCTTAAATTTATAAAAAGGATATTTACTACCAAAGTTCTGAGTATTATATTAGTATAATTCTGAATATTTATTATTACATTAGTATAATATCTTAGTTTTAGAAAATAAACACTGCTCTTAGCTGAATGTGAAATTTTAAGTGTTAATCATTCTGGTTCTTTAGAAGCAAGGACTACACCCACCTTCCACTCTGATGTGTGCTGTGTTTATGGCTAGAAGTAATTTTTCATTGCTTAGGAAGATAGAATGCCCTGTGGAATTTATTTATAGGCTTTGATCCAGTAAGTGAATGAAGCATGGCAACTGTTGGAAATTTACCAGAACTCTTTCTCCATGTTAAGAGTGGGAAAGACGCCTACTGTGAAATGTTTGGAAGTTAAATATTGGGAAGAATGGGGATTTTTCTTTTATTTTTGCATTCTGTATTTGTTTTGTCTGTTATCACACTGAAAATACCACATCTTTGGTTTAAAAATACGTTTGACCAAAAAACTCACTGTTCTCTCCACAGATCACCTCTTTTGGAAGTCAAACTCCTATTGATACTGGGGATTGTAGAGGATTTCAGTGGGGTTTTTTCCACTTCTGGTATTAAAGGCAGGTTGGAATGTTAGGCATTCTGGCATGGTATTGGTAGTAATTTTCATAAGCCTTGTCCTTTCTAATGTTCTGTTCAGAGTCCTGCTTTTTGTAGGAGGACTGGTCAGTCTAACCAGTGTGTACAAGTTGTCTTCTAGGACAAAATGGTGCTCTTTTGATGCCTCTGATGTTCGTGTCTACCTCTGGGGAGTCACCCCCCACCCTCCTCTTTTTTGCTCTTGGTACATGTGTGGACAGTGTGATCTGCAGCGGACTTTGACATAGCCAAGTGTTGTATATAAATGCTTCTAAGGTCTGCAGGCAGCCTGTGCTAAAGCCAGGCTGCTGGTGCTTCACAGCAGTGCACAGCAGCTAAGCTGGCTCACAAAGCTTCGTGTTGTAACCTGTGAAATGCAGTGTAAAGAACAAAGTTACAGTTCCCTTTCTTTAGAAATTTTCAAGTGCAGATTCACAATGTGAAGATGACAACCATTTTATTTCTGTTGGAAAGAACACGAATGCTTCTGCTGGTTTAGAGTGGCAGTAAGTTGTTTGGTCAAGTTTAACTGATTTTAAAGAAAAAAATCAGTTGTGATCTCACAATCTATATAGGGCTTAATTAAACAAGGACATCACTTTTCTTATATAATTACTTGTGCTTAACTACATTTTCTTCCTTTTCTTTACTATATTTCAGCACAAAGACATTAGCAGGCTGCTGGTTTCGTGGACCTGTACCACAGTGACACAGAGAACACCAGAGCACCAGGATTGAATGAAATTGGAGACTCAGATTTTTAAAAGCTGCACTAAGAAGTAAATGTTCAGGCAGTGGTTAAAACCAACAGTCTCTAAAGGGCACCTGTAAATTGTGCTATAGTAAACCGAAGAAAAGGTATTAGGGGAATGTTTTCTAAAACAAACTAAACTATTGCAATAAATTATGCATGAGATGAGGAGAAAAGTGATGTGAAATACGCACACAAGAACTCATTTTATGTGCGAAGACAGTTCTTTTGATTGTGAAGTTCTTATCAGGAGTTTGGACAGACCTAAAAGGCATGGGATGATGGCAGAAATGTTGAATTATCTTTCATACTAAAACTTTGTTCTTTCTCCAAGGTTTATGTTACTCAGTTCAGATATGAGCAAAGGTATTTCTAAAATGACTCGCCTGTGAAACCAGTGGTCACATGTGCTGAGGCCAGTGTTTCCCTTAAGGGTGCCCCTGGAAACGACAGGAAAGATTTAATATCATCCTAAAAGGATGGTAAGGTACCCCCACCCCACCCACCCTGAAAATTTGGACCTTTCTTTCATAAAGCAGGGCTGTATTACCTTAATACATATTTAGATGTATTTATTTGCCACCAGTATTTTAACATTTTGTGCACATTTTCATAGCCCCATTCTTAACTTCTAAATTCTGAGTCAGAGTAGATAGGCTAGTGTTGACCTCAGAGTGATGTATATTCTGAGATCTAGTTCTGAAATCTACTGAGCTGAAAAGGCATTTACTCTTCCTATCGTTATTAATTTTATTTAGATCCCAAAAGGTGAAAAATCTGAATTCTGATGTGGCGCTCTCCCCCCAGAGAGCTCCTCCTCCTGTTGAAGTGCAAGAAATTCTTACAGGTGTCAGGTGGGGCTTGTGCCTGGGGAACTGGCAGCAGAAACAGACCCATAAAAGATGGTGTCAGGCTTTTCATGAATTCTTACCTTTGGAAAATACGTATTATAAAAAGAACCCTTAATTTTTCTTTTTTAATGAGCAGAGATAACCAGATTGACCTGTTAGTGCTACATTTTTAAGGTATTTTATATTTGATGGTGCCGTACTTTTAATAATAAATACTGAAGTTTTTTAGTGGCAATACCAATTTATTTTTTAAACCTGAAAGATAATCCTTATTGATTACTTAATACAAAAAAAAAAAAAAGCCAAAAAACAATTCATTTGAAGCAACATAACTGAGCATTTGGCTTAAGTGTTCAAACTTTCCATAATCTTACTGTATAGGTTTGGAATTACTTAACTCCACACTCAGGATTAATAAAAGGTTCTGGGGGAGTTTTAGAACATTTAATATACCTGACTAAGGACTTGTTTCACAACTCAAAGAAGAAAAGGTAGGCACTCTCATTTCTGTGAGTTGAATACAAATCCTAATTACACTGTAAGTAATTAAAAGTTGTGATTGCATTCTAAAATTGTCTTTTTTGAAAAGTATTTATCATGAAGTCATTATACATATGATGAAATCTGAAAAAGCTCAGGAACTATGCCAGCAGGGAGTCTAAAGATTACAGGCCTCAGTGGCAGCAGACTCTCTGCCCATCTTGTCTTTAGCTGTATTACCACCAGCAGTACCTTCCAAACTCCCTTCAAGAACCAGACAACTCATGCCATGTGAGTTGTATAATCAAGAGTTTTAAGTAAGCTTTAGCATTATTTGTGCAGAGTGATGGAAATGATAAAAGGCAAAAAAATTGAGAGATCAGGCTTTAAGGACCTATTTTTTCTCATGATAAATTCTCAAAAGGTGTTTTGTTATAAACCAGATTTTTCATTTAAAAAAAATGAAACTTGGTATTTAAAATCTAGGACATACCATGTTGCTATTTCACTTTCATTGCTTTAGTTGCTTAATATTTAAGCTATGCTTCATGCTACCTTTGTATTTCAAATCTTCAGAAGCCTATTTCATTTTGTAGACTTGAATGACAAATTTCTCATCTAAAGTATGCTGAGACATAAATGTTAAAAGAATGTTGTGTAACATCCAATAAAGTCTTGATATTTTTAAAAATTTAGTTTTTAAAAATTTAGTTATTTATAAACTATTTACTTTCTAGGAGTTAGGTTTTAAAGGTTATTGAAATTCAACCACTAGTTGTCCTTTAAGGAGCTGTTTTAAGTAGCATTGCTTCCTTAGGAGAACCTGTAAGTTCTTAATCACTGGAGGGATTTTATGGGACTTCTTTATGTCTAAGGCTGGAAGAATGTGAATGATGGAAACAAATATCTACTGGTGGGTTGTTTGTTTAAAGGAGTCCTGCTCTTATGGATAATTGGTTGCTTCTTTAAAAGCCCAGCACATCCAATGTGAAAGTGAGGTCAAGTGTTTGATCAGAAACCACTCAGCTGTCAGGGAAAAAGTAGCCTCTTAAAACTTACCAGACAATTGAAGTTTTTCTGCACTGACCCAAAAACTTAGGTCAGTGTTCTGCCGCCCCCCCCCCCCCCCCCCCCTCTCCCACCGGGGGGGGGGGCACGCCACAGATGCAGAATTCTGTCCGGTTCCCCCCCCCCCCCCCCCCCCCCCGATTTGTGTAAAGCAATCCTTTGGAAGGCTGCCAGTTTTTCCAGAGTATACATGGAGTCTTTAATTGCAAACATTCTCCCATTTCAGCTTATCTAAATGAGTGTAGAAAGGAGGCCACTGGAATCTGGTAATATCTTTTCTTCCTCAAGTTTCTCACTAACGATAAGAGAACCAGGGAAGATAAATAAGCCATGAGCTCAGGATCTGGAAGGCCTACACGAGATCTCTCTCCCCTACCTCCATACCATGGTATCCACCTGATGGTGTCATGACATGTGCCAGTATGTTTACAGACACAACTCCTACCAGATACAGGGAATGAGGGATGCAACCCATGCATACACTTAGGATCTTATTCATGCCCTGGAATCGTGTGGACTGTACCAGCACCTCCCTGGGCATGGTGGGTATGTCACTGCAAATATGCACTGTGGCTAGAAGCTGTTTTACTGCTTTTATAGCTCATTTTTCTCTTTCAAGTAATGATGCCTCCCTCAGTAGTCAAATAGAGCATGCTGTGTTTTTAAAGCATACTTTTCTCTAGTGATGTGTCTTGCCAAATCTCTGCTTATTCACAATGAAATTTCATGGCCTAACAACACCTTTGCTTAGATGTCAAGAAGGTAATGAACCTGGGCTGAAAGAAGATACAACTCAGGAATACTGTGCCAGAGGAAGGAAGAGCTGGCCAAACACAGAGGCTAGGTTATTGTCCTTAAGAGTTAAGAACACTTCTGGGTTAGCCCTTTCATTATTCCCTCGTGAGGCATGTGAGTAGAAGCTTCTAACATTGGTGATATTAAGAGAAAGATGACATGGGTTCTAATCTTAGTTCTATCCAAGATCTTCCTGACAGAAGAACCAGGCCTGGCCACACTGGCTAAAATGGGGTGTGGAAAAGAAGTGTCTCACTCAAGCCCTTCCTTTTCTCCTTAGCTAAGGCCCAAAACATGGGAGACAAGGGAATCTTTACTTGAGCGAAATATTCTACAATCTTGTGTTTTTGACTTCTAAGCTCAGCCCCTAACTCCTGTGGATCCTAAGTCAAAGCAGAAACCTGTGCTCTAAAGAAGATGAATGGGATCAGCAGCGTGAAGAAGTGGAAGGAGACGACTGTGTCCGGCCCCAGAAGAGCATAGCTGGCCTTTAGTAAGACCGAACCACCTTACAGAAGGCAGTGACGGGGCACTCCCTCACATGTTTAAATGCAGCTGCTTTCACATCTGTAGAAGACGGACTGGAAAAGCTTTTGCAGCAGCAGCTGAAGCTCCAGCCTTTGATGCCAACTCCGCCAATGGCAGAACCCAATACAAGTGTTACACAGCCCTAGGAAGTTATCAGACCTTTCCTTCCAGTTGACTTTGCGAGGCAAATAGCATTCTATTTTGGGACCATCAAACCATTCCTACAAGTCTTGTCTACATCTGTCGTGATACCTGAGCATAGCAGCCCCAGTGCCTGATAGGAGTTCCCATTGAGATAGGCCCTATTTTTCAGCAAGCCAGAAACTAGTAGCTGGGACTGAGTCACGGCCACAAATTGTTAGCTATGGGCTTCCTTGGCAGTGGGGCAGCAAGCCCTGCATTTAGCTAAGGGGAAAGAAAATGTGAGCTTACAGTTTCCCCTTGAGTGAAAGGAAAAAGAAGGTGGGGCGTCCTATTTCTAGTTCTGGCTGACAGAACCCGTGTGATGGAGCCTATTTCTAGATGGTGGATGTGAGGGTTGGAAAATTAGAAGGAAATGGCATATTTTTGTTGTGGAATATTTCAGACATTTGTAGAGCTACAGCAGTATAACAAACTCTATGTACCCATCCCTAGTTTCAACCAGCTTGTAGCCAGGAAGACTGAAATTTCTGATGCTTTTAAATATGAGGGCAGCCTAGTCACTACTTTTCATAAACTAATTTTATAACTAGTTTGCCCCTTGAAGGGTTGTAAGCAGTTATTCTTAGGCTCTGTGGTTATTTTTTACCACAGCACTTGGGCTGGCTAGTAGCAAGTCATCCATTTCCCATTCTCAGTCTAGTGTTGGTTAAGGGCTGCTCTCCCCCAACACAGGAAGTGAATGGAAAATGATCGCCTCTCTCCTCTGTACAGCTTTAATTGTGCAGTTCCCTGAAGGAACAGGTTTTCTAGTCACTTCTGGTAGAACGTGCACACATTTCCTTTTTTAAAGGACCCAGATGACAGGAGGACAGCCTGTGACTTCTGTGGTGCAGAGGGGGCAGGCTGAAAGAGACAAGTTGCTCAAACTGCTCCAAGGAGGTTTTTCTAAGGTGGCAGATATGTACCAAGCACACAACATAGACCGATAGGAGTATTAGAGAAGTCAGGGGTGAGTTAGGGAGTGAGAGGGAAGTGGT